TCTATAGTCTAGTCTATAGTCTAGTTTATAGTCTAGTCTATAGTCTAGTCTATAGTTTAGTCTATAGTATAATCTATAGTCTAGTCTATAGCCTTGTCTGTAGTCTAGTCTAATCAATATGCCAGTCTGTAATATAGTCTATATTCCAGTCTATAATGTAGTCTATAGTCTAGCCTATAATCTGGTCTATACTTTAGCCTATAATCTAGTCTATAGTCTAGTTCTTAGTCTAGTCTATAGTCTAGTTTTTTTTTTAAAGAAAACCATAAATCTTTGAATTTCCCAACATTTAAAAGAAAAACCTTTTCTTGCAAATTTTCAAAAACCTTGACTAAATTTTCCTTTAGCTCTTGGGCACATGCCACAAGTAGTTAATAACTATAAAACTTGGCAGTAAACAGCTTAAGCACTAATAGAGAACAAAAAAAAAAAAACCAGGTGCATAATTTACACTCAGGTGTCATGAAGAAAAAACTTTAGCACACAATAATTAAAATTATGAGCTTTAACAATGTACAAAACGACAACAAAAAATGAGTTGTAATTTAAGCAACAGAAAATGAGGGGAAGGTTTTTTCTTGTTTTCAGATAAAAATAGAAGAAATAAAATTTTATATAAAAATAAATCTTGTAGTTTTTAAACATGAACTATATTCTATGGTCAAATAAGTAACTAGTACAACATACTTGCATGATGACATACCGGGCGATATTATGTGTTGACAGCACAGCTATAGAAACGATGCAAAAGAAATGTTAAAGATGACACTTTTGCCAAGCACTCAAATTGCATTTGCTGAAGAGATATTAGAAAAATATCATATATCTTTTTGGCAGATAGGTAACTCAAGAGTTTGTTGTTGCAAGCAACATCAAACATGTCAACACATTTGAAAACTGTAACACTTTCCAAGTAAAGTAATATAAGCTAAAGACAAACGCAGGGAAATAAAACTAAAAATGTGTGAATTTTTTCCCTCAAATAAAGAAAATAGAAATTAATTAAGAAATTAATTAACATCACTAGACCAGAACTTGATTTCGGTGGTTAAAGTGCTAACAGTACCTCCCCTTAAAAAAACACATCACATAAGTTTAAAAAATAAACTTCAAGGCAATTTAAAGCATCCATGGCCGGCCTGCTTTAATCAAACAAAAGGTAATAATATCTCTCCACTCAAGTATACGCACATATGGAACACATTTTGTGTCTTATAAGACTTGCAACTCTTTGGGGCACAAATTTTTTTTTATATGTTTTTTAAGAAAAAAATCTTAATAAATTAAAAAAAAATCTTGTTAAAAATCAAGAAAAACATAAATTGTTTGTAATAAAACCAGCATAAAATATTTGTGTTAACATTTTTTTAAGAAAAATAAAACTAAAACATAAAATATTTGGCCTTTAACTAATAAACAACAACATAAGCTTTACTAATTTACAAAAAACACGTCAAACTTTTTAATAAATACAATTTTTTAAAAACACTTAAGCTAGAAGAATTTTTAAACTGAAAATCGCCAAAAAACCAAATTTTCTGTTCTAATTCAGTTCTAGTTTAGTTCTAGTTCAGCTCCAGTTTAGTTCTAGTTTAGTTCTAGTTCAGTTCTAGTTCTGCTCTAGTTCAGTTCTAGTTCTGTTCTAGTTCAGTTCTAGTTTAGTTCTTGTTCAGTTCTAGTTGAATTCTAGTTCAGTTCTAGTTCAGTTCTAGTTCAGTTCTAGTTCAGTTCTAGTTCAGTTCTAGTTCAGTTCTAGTTCAGTTCCAGTTCAGTTCTAGTTCAGTTCTAGTTCAGTTCTAGTTCAGTTCTAGTTCAGTTCTAGTTCAGTTCTAGTTCAGTTCTAGTTCAGTTCTAGTTCAGTTCTAGTTCAGTTCTAATTCAGTTCTAATTCAGTTCTAGTTCAGTTCTAGTTCAGTTCTAGTTCAGTTCTAGTTCAGTTCTAGTTCAGTTCTAGTTCAGTTCTAGTTCAGTTCTAGTTCAGTTCTAGTTCAGTTCTAGTTCTAGTTCAGTTCTAGTTCAGTTCTAGTTCAGTTCTAGTACAGTTCTAGTTCAGTTCTAGTTCAGTTCTAGTTCAGTTCTAGTTCAGTTTTAGTTCAGTTCTAGTTCAGTTCTAGTTCAGTTCTAGTTCAGTTCTAGTTCAGTTCTAGTTCAGTTCTAGTTCAGTTCTAGTTCAGTTCTAGTTCAGTTCTAGTTCAGTTCTAGTTCAGTTCTAGTTCAGTTCTAGTTCAGTTCTAGTTCAGTTCTAGTTCAGTTCTAGTTCAGTTCTAGTTCAGTTCGTGTTTAGTTCTAGTTCAGTTCGTGTTTAGTTCTTGTTTAGTTTTAGTTCTGCTCAAGTTCAGTTCGAGTTCAGTTCTAGTTTAGTTCTAGTATAGTTCTAGTTTAGTTCTAGTTTAGTTCTAGTTTGGTTCTAGTTTAGTTCTAGTTTAGTTCTAGTTCAGTTTTAGTTCAGTTCTAGTTCAGTTCTAGTTCAGTTCTAGTTCAGTTCTAGTTCAGTTCTAGTTCAGTTCTAGTTCAGTTCTAGTTCTAGTTCAGTTCTAGTTCAGTTCTAGTTCAGTTCTAGTTCAGTTCTAGTTCAGTTCTAGTTCAGTTCTAGTTCAGTTCTAGTTCAGTTCTAGTTCAGTTCTAGTTCAGTTCTAGTTCAGTTCTAGTTCAGTTCTAGTTCAGTTCTAGTTCAGTTCTAGTTCAGTTCTAGTTCAGTTCTAGTTCAGTTCTAGTTCAGTTCTAAGTCAGTTCTAGTTCAGTTTAGTAGTCTAGTTCAGTTCACGTTCCTTCTAGTTCGGTTCTAGTTCAGTTCTAGTTCAGTTCTAGTTCAGTTCTAGTTCAGTTCTAGTGGCAGTTCTAGTTCAGTTCTAGTTCAGTTCTAGTTCAGTTCTAGTTCGTTCTAGTTCAGTTCTAGTGCAGTTCTAGTTCAGTTCTAGTTCAGTTCTAGTTCAGTTCTAGTTCAGTTCTAGTTCAGTTCTAGTTCAGTTCTAGTTCAGTTCTAGTTCAGTTCTAGTTCAGTCTAGTTTAGTTCTAGTTCAGTTCTAGTTCAGTTCTAGTTCAGTTCTAGTTCAGTTCTAGTTCAGTTCTAGTTCAGTTCTAGTTTCAGTTCTAGTTCAGTTCTAGTTCAGTTCTTGTTCAGTTCTAGTTCAGTTCTAGTTCAGTTCTAGTTCAGTTCTAGTTCAGTTCTAGTTCAGTTCTAGTTCAGTTCTAGTTCAGTTCTAGTTCAGTGCTAGTTCAGTTCTAGTTCAGTTCTAGTTCAGCTCTAGTTCAGTTTCTAGTTTAGTTCTAGTTCAGTTCTAGTTCAGTTCTAGTTCAGTTCTAGTTCAGTTCTAGTTCAGTTCTAGTTCAGTTCTAGTTCAGTTCTAGTTCAGTTCTAGTTCAGTTCTAGTTCAGTTCTAGTTCAGTTCTAGTTCAGTTCTAGTTCAGTTCTAGTTCAGTTCTAGTTCAGTTCTAGTTCAGTTCTAGTTCAGTTCTAGTTCAGTTCTAGTTCAGTTCTAGTTCAGTTCTAGTTCAGTTCTAGTTCAGTTCTAGTTCAGTTCTAGTTCAGTTCTTGTTCAGTTCTAGTTCAGTTCTAGTTCAGTTCTAGTTCAGTTCTAGTTCAGTTCTAGTTCAGTTCTAGTTCAGTTATAGTTCAGTTCTAGTTTCAGTTCTAGTTCAGTTCTAGTATAGTTCTAGTTCAGTTCTAGTGCAGTTCTAGTATAGTTCTAGTTCAGTTCTAGTGCAGTTCTAGTTCAGTTCTAGTTCGTTCTAGTTCAGTTCTAGTTCAGTTCTAGTTCAGTTCTAGTTCAGTTCTAGTTCAGTTCTAGTTCAGTTCTAGTTCAGTTCTAGTTCAGTTCTAGTTCAGTTCTAGTTCAGTTCTAGTTCAGTTCTAGTTCAGTTTTAGTTCAGTTCTAGATCAGTTCTAGTTCCATTCTTCTTAAGTCCAAGTTCAATTCTATTTCTGATCTATTTCAGAGCTAGTTTTGACATTTTACAGACCAGTTGTTGGCTTTCTGAAATCTAAAAATTGTTTCCAAATTCGTTGTTTTACCAAAGTTAGTTTTGTTTTTCAAAAGTTTTCTCAATAAACAAAACTTTAAAATAGAAAATAAACATTTCAATTAAGATTTTTAAACAAAAATCAATAAAAATATTGTAAACTAAAAAAGAATTAAAAAATATTAAAAAATATTTTGTTTAAATTTTTCAATATTTATATTATTGACTTTCATAGATTCCTAACCTCATTAAATTAACCACACATCAAAGCCGAAATGACCCATTTCTGTTTTGAGGGAAATCTAAATAGTAATACACTCCTCAAAAATCTAAACAAAACGTTAATAAATTTGAAAAGAAATTTCAAAAAAAAAAAAAAGAAAATTTTTTGAAATTTTATAAAATGTTTAAAAAAACAGATCATTTACTTTATAAAGAAAAAAAGTAAAATCTACATTAAGGTAAGAGTTTATAAACCATTATGATGAAATAAATTATATTTAAAAGATCAGTTTGCTTTCATTAACTACAAGTGGTTGTTTAAACAAAAGCAAACATAACAACAACATATAAAACATAGAATAAGGGAAAGCACTTGAAATTTAATAAATTTTTATGAAATGTATACATCACATTGCTTAAATTGTAGTGCAGCAGGTCAATTATTGTTGCACGTCTTGGCTATTGAAAACGTTCATCTGCTTTTAATCTTTACAGGAAAAAAATATCAATAACGCACCAAAAATACCAACAAGAAAAAAAGAAAAGCACGTTCCAAAAAATGTTTCCCCAAAAAACATAAAATACTTCAATAATCAAGGGAAACACAAAAAACAATTTAAAAACTAAAGTGTTGTTGTATACGCTCATTATGAAGATTTTTTTCAAAGATTTTTTTTCAAAAAAAATAAATTAAAATTTAAAATAATTTAATGGTTTATGATGGGTTTCCTCTTGAAATATAAACACAGATACTTTAACTCACAGTCAAAATAAAGTTTTCCCAAAAACAATAAATATAAAAAGAAATTTCCACTTACCCACACAACCATAAGATTCTGCTTTGAGTCCAAAATATCCCTCTTCACATTCATTGCATTTGAGTCCTTGAACTCCCGGTTTACACTGACATTGTCCATTATCGGGATCACAGGTGTGAGGATCAATTGAACCCCATTCATTACAGGAACATGGTGCACATTTCATATCGATTTGTGCATAACCTTCAGCACATTCATCACATTTTTGACCACTGTAACGGGGTTTACACAAACACTGACCATCAGTACTGTCACATACTGAGCTATCAGAGCCTTCGCTAAAGCAATCACAGGGTTCACAACCCATAGAGGGATCACCCCAGTAACCCATTTTACAGCGTTCACAATGCCAGCCTTCGGTGTTGCCCCTGGAAAGAAGGAAATTGCAAAATTTAACAAAAAAATTAAAGATATTAAAAAAACATTAATGTCTTGACATAAATGTTAATATTACAACAAAATTTCTGAATTTTCTTAAAAACAAAACTAACTTTTATAAGAAAATTTAAAAATTAAAAAAAATCTACGTGACATAAAAATGTCTAGGTTATGTCATAACATAAATTTAAGAAATTTCCTCAAAAGTCCTAATTACTCGCAAAAATCTTTTTATAAAACTTTTTAAACAGTAAAATAAAAAAATTTAATTTATGTCTTGACATAAAAATGTCATAACATAAATTCTTATAACATCAAAATTCAGTGTTATGTGGTTAAATTGGATAAAATCACTTTAAAAAGAAAAATTAATAAAATATTTTTAAATTTATCTCTTGACATAAAAATGTCATAACATAAATTATTATTATAACATCAAAAGTCAATACTAGATGGTGAAATTTATTTAAAAAAAATTAACTTTAAAAAGAAATATTAATAAAAGATTTGAAATTTTTGTCTTGACATAAAAATGTCATAACATAAATTTTAACAAATTCACCAAAATTCAACACTACATGGCATTATTGTTGAAATAACTTAAAAAATTAACAAGAACTGTAAAAAATTTTGTAAGTGACATAAAAATGTCTTGCTTATGTCATAACATAAATTTAAGAAATTTCTCAAGAGTCACAATTACTTGAAAAAATCCTTTAAAATAACTTAGGAAAGTAAAATAACAAAAAAAAAAATTTTATGTCTTGACATAAAAATGTCATAACATAAATTTTAACAAATTCATCAAAAGTCATAACTCGAAGGTTAAGTTAATTAAAAAACTTAAAAATTAAGAATTAATTAAAGATTTTAAATTTTTGTCTTGACATAAAAATGTCAGAACATAAATATTAACAAATTCACAAAAATTCAACAAAATTTTTTTTAAAAACCTTCAAAAATTAACAACAATTCAGAAAAATTGTGTAAGTGACATAAAAATGTCAAGGTTATGTCATAACACAAATTTAAAAAAATTTATCAAAATTACTTTGAAAATTCTTTTAAAATAACTATGAAAAGTAAAATAACAAAAAAAATGAGATATATGTCTTGACATAGAAATGTCATAACATCAATTTTAACAAATTCATCAAAAGTCAATACATAATATTAACAAAAGTTTAAAAAAATTCATCAAAAGTCAAGATGTATTTGAAAATTCTTTAAAAATAACTATGAAAAGTAAAAATACAGAAAAAATAGATGTCTTGACATACAAATCTCATAACATAAATTTTAGAAAATTCATCAAAAGGCAGTACTAGATGGTTAAATTAATTAAAAAGAACTTAAAAAAGAAAAATTAATAAAAGATTTTAAATTGTGTCTTGACATAAAAATGTCATAACTTGACTCTAAAGTTCTCTTTAAAATTATGTCTATACATAAATTGTTAAGTTTTTGTCTTAACATATTTATGTCAGCCTTAAGTTAGAGGAAAACTATAACCCAAGAAATGTTGGTTTCATATTTATGATGTGTTATTAGGAAAAAATAAGTTTTTTATGGCTTGACATAAAAATATCAACAATATGTCATGACATAAATAAGTCACATAGAAACAAATTATGAAAATAAAGTAAATTATTTTGTATAAATCTAGTTTATAAAATGTATCTTTAGAATTATGTCTAAACATAAAGTTTATGTCTTAACATAAATATGTCAAGTTTATGTCTTAATATAAACATGTCAATATTAAGTTAAAGCAAAAATAAACCCCTAGAACTCTTAGAATCATAATAATTTTCTTATGTCTTGACAGAAAAATGTCAACAATATGTCATGACATATGTATACCATAAAAAATAAATTAATTTAAACGTTTTTATAGAAATCTTGATTCAATTAATTAATCTTTAAAATGATGCCTTAACACTAATATTCCAAGTTTATGTCTTAACATAAATATGTCAACATTGAGTTAGAGCAAAAATATAATACCAGAAATGATTTTTAACGAGCATTTAAGAAAAAAAGTTTTTTGTATCTTGACATAAAAATTTTTTGCCATAAAAAAATGTCTTGCCATAAAAATGTCATGACATAAATTTAAAATTTCAGTTTTTGAGAAACAGTTTCAAATGAAATGTTTGAAAAAATAAAGTTTGTCTACACTTTATGTCTTGACAAAATAATGAATTCTATTTACACCTTTTGGCTTGACATTTAAATATCATATTTTAGTTATAACATAAATGTCTATGTTAACTACTGATTTAAGATTTATATCTAATAAGTATCAATTTTTACTTTAGTATTAAACTTGCCATACAATTAATATAAATCTATAGCTTTATTATGTCTTAACATAATACCATTTTATGTCTTGACATAATATTATGTCATGCCAAAACAGAATGTATATCCGAAATGCTTTTTAAACCTATTAGAACATACATAGTTTTCTTATACTCACTCGCACACTATACACCTGCCCGTAAAGACATCACATGGTCCGCCATCACAAGCACAGGGCTGACACGAAGAACCCAACTCGGTAGGCTTGCCATAGTAACCATCATCACACATTTCACAGTGGTCACCCGTATAGCCGGGCGGACATTGTGTACAAATGTATTCGGTATTTTCCACCACACCATAAATAGGGTTGATGTCCATGATAGCATACGACTTCAACTGGCAACTGGGAGAAAAGTTATTACTGGCAGCCAGTAGAGGGCAGGCACAGGGTTTACAGTCGTGGGGAGTACCATGCAAGGGATTGCCATAGTAGCCGCGTTGACAACGTTCACATCTAATAGAAGAGTTAAATACAAAAGAGAGTTGAGTTAACGTGGATGATAAGTTGAGTTTATTGCTAATGGAAAGTGTCTAGACTTAGTTAAGTTTTGAACCTTTAAAAGAGTTGAATTGCTTTAGCTACCACTTACCTTTCACCATAGGTATTGTGCATACAATTGCCACAGCCACCACTCTGCAAATCACATGAGTTCGAATGACCATTACAGGGACAAGGTTTACAACGTCCCACCTCATGATGATCACTGGAGTTTTCATAGACTCTTATAAAGCCAAAATCACAAGATTCACAGGATAATCCCGTGTAGCCAGAAGGACATCTACACTGTTCCACTTTAGAGGAAGGTGGACCTCCTAGTTCCAAGCCTCCGGTATAAATAATCACTCTTTCCAAATTGGTTTCCACTTGATCGGTATGAAAAGCGGCTCTTACCAATAAAGCTTCTAAATTAGTTAAAACCGCTAAGAATTGGGCTCGTGAGACTTGGGAACCATGATACTCATTGCGCCTCAGCCTTGTTTTTATATCCTTGACTTGTGCAGGCACATGATACCAACCGCTCTGTTCTAAAGTTATATTTATGGTGGCACTGGACCCTCTAGTAAACTCCTCATCACCATAGGCTATTTTTAAACCATTTTTACCGAATAGAATAACATTGGGTCCTGAAGTGGGTTTGCCGGAAGTATCACCTCTAATGGTTACCCAATTGACTTGTATGGATAAGCGTGAACCATAGCTAGTTAAGCGATTGCCCAAATAACCTTGAGGAGCCTGCCAATAGATGGCCTCTACATCGGATAAATCATACATGCCATAACCCAGGAAATTGGTGTCGGAATCTAAGACAGGTACAGCTGTTTGAGATCGGGTAATATCGGTAATTTTCCAATCGTTTAGAGTTTCAAAGGCCAGTGTAGACAATTGGGCACTAGAGCAGCCGGCCTCCAAGCCAGAACACCAGCAGGGGGAACAACCTTCCGGATTCTCCGAGCTTAAATCATAAAAACCTTCTTTGCACAGATTACAGGTATCACCCTCTACATTAGCCTTGCAAACACACACACCCGCACACTCGCTATCGGCCAAGGTCCCTCGACCATCACACTCACACTTAAGACAGTCTTCACCATAAAAACCCGGCAAACATTCCTCACATTTCCTGCCCTGAAAACCTTCTCGACATATACAAGAGCCACCTTCTGCATGACACAAACCAGTCGATCCCTTGGTATTACATTCACAGGGCAAACAAGCTTCCGAACGCAAAGCTCCCTGGGGTCTATAGAAACCATTTAAACAGAATTCACATTCATTCCCTGTAGTATTATTACGACAATCTTGACATACTCCCCGCTCCAAAAAACGATCATAAATACAAGTTTCAGCATGATCATTACATTGACAGATCTCACATTGATGCGCCTCACGCATGGTGCCATTTCGAAAGGGTTTATCCTGATAAAGGGGACAGCATTGAGAGCAATCATTGCCACAGGTATTATGCTGACATTCACATTGTAGTGTCGATTCTAAACCGGAAAATTCCTTTTGACCTTTATACTTTTCCGCTAATTCTTTGGTTTTCTCTGCATGACCATGACAATCTAAACGGGCACTTACTCTGATCTGTTTCAAGGAGTAAAAACTACGTTTCTCCAGTGAATGAGCATCCAACTGCCAGTAGACACTATTATCCAAATTGGCTGTGGAGTGCATGCCCTGAAAACGTATACGTATGTAACGGGCTGTTATAAAATCCATTAACTCTTGAGTTTGTTCCATGGCCCCAGGGCGATTTTTCAGCAAAGATACATGTAGCTCTCCATTTTCTAGAGGCAATGCCTTGGAAAATTGTGTCGTACAGATTACCTCGGTATCATTTTGAAACACATATTTGCCATTTTGTGCAGGCAGGTTATAACGTTGCTTACAGTCTAGTTCTGAGCGGCCAAAATATTGCCACGCTTGGAAGTTATAACCATCTAGAGACTTCTCTAAGATCCAGGAGGCAGGGCGGGGAGAATTAGCGGATTTTAGCATGACATAGAAAACTTGATAGATCTGGAAAGAAGAAAGGAGAGAAGAAATGGTAAGTTATAAATTTCTTTAAAGAAATGAATAATAAATATTTGATTAATATAAATATGTCTTGATATATGTCATAACATAAACATAACAATACTATTATTTTTAAAGTAAAACTAGCACTGAAATGGAATTGTAATAATTAAAACGCAATTATGACCATTTTAAAACAAAATATGTATGTTTTGACATAAAATGTAAAAATTATGTCATAATATAAATGTCAAAAGAACTCATAAAATATACAAATTTGGTAAAAACATTCCTTGAAAATAGTTTTTATCGAAAATTAAAAAAATACGACAAACATAAAATTTTCAAAAATATGTCTTGACATATTTATGTCGCCATTATGTGATAATGTTTTAACACAAAATGTTACCATTATGTCATGACATAATATCAGCATAACTAACAAAATAAACAAAATAGGTTTAAATTATCTTTAAAATATTTTTTATAGACAATCTAAAAAAATATGTCATAACATAAAATTGACAACAATAATGTCTTAACATATATATATGTCAAGACATAACTGTGAATATTATTACCAAAATGTGTCTTGACATATTAATGTTTTCCCCTTGTCTAAATGAAAGCAAACTTTTAAACAATTTGTTCATAATTAAGAAAAAAAACTTTTGATGTCTTAACATAAAATTTCCAGGCATTATGTCATGACATAAATGTCTACATTATTCATAAAACATAAAAATTACAAAAAAAAACTTTCTTAAAACTTTCTTCAATTTTTTTTATATTTTCAAGGCATTTTCAAAAAGCTTTTGAAGTCTTAACATTGAAATGTCAGCCATTATGTCATGACATAAATTTCAACAATATTCACCAAATTTAAAAATTATGTAAACACTTCCATGAAACTAATTTTTGATGAAATCTTAAAAAAATCATGACATAACATAAAAATGTCTACCATATGTCTTAACATAAAAATGTTAGGTTTTTGAAAAAGTGAGAAATACTTCTAAGAAGTATTTCTAGTAAATATTCTAAGAAGTATTTCTAAAACTATTGATGCATATGGGAAAAAATTTTAACTTATGTTTTACAAAGAAAATGTCAGCATTATGTCATGACATAAATGTCAAAAATTATATCTTAATATAAATTGAATCAACTTTGTATGTCTTAACATAAAAATTTCCATTTTATGACTTAACAAATTTAAATTTTCACTTTTTATCCAAGAATTATCAAGACACAAGGTACTTATCATGTCTTAACATAAAAATGTTAGCATAATGTCTTGACATAAAAGACAGCATTTTAAAAAAATCATCAAAAAACTGTTTGTAGTACTTATTTATTTATTAATATAAAAGAAATTAAAAAAAAAACTTTTTATGTCATAACATAACATATGTCATAACATAAAGATGTATATGTCTTAACATAAAAACAACATTATTTAATAAAAGTTAGATGTTTATATTGTTAAAAAATGATTTGCAAATTTTTTTAACTTTTATGTCTTGACATGAAAATTTCAGTAGAATGTCTTGACATAAATGTCAGCATTAAAAAAAATACTTAAATAAGGAGTTTGTTGTACTTTTAACTGATTATAAAAGAAATTAAAATGTGTCTTAAGATGTTTTTAGATCTTATTATGTCTTAACATAAAAATGTCTGTATTATGTCTTGACATAAATATCAGCGAAAAGTTTTTTAAACATTTGATTTATTGAAAAAAAAGGAAACGAAAAAGATTTTTATGTCATGACATAACCATGTCATCATTATGTCATAACAAATGTCTTGACATAAAAATGTCAGCATGAATAAATGTCAAAAAAATGATTTTAACATTGTTTAAACATGATTTAGACATTTTTTGAAATTTATGTGTTAACATAAATATACTACCCTAGTATAAACACTTTATAAAATGTTTACATATTCAACAATAAACCATTTTAAATTTCTTTTCTTAAACAATCATTTTTATTGTTTATCCATATAGAAAATTTATTGAAAAATTTGTGTAACAAATTCCTAACGCTACTCTTTGACATTTGACTTTAACATTGCTCCCCTCCCCTTAACATATCATTATCAGACACATAATTTCTCTACTAGTAAAAATTAATTACTAAATAGATTAAATAACAGATTTAGTTTTAAACGATTAGTTCTGCTCTCAATAAAATTTTTATTTTCTACTTCACAGATTTGTTGCCGCTTTAGAATGAAATACATAGAATTGATAAAGTGTCAGAAGAAATGACAGAACATCATACGCACACTCACACACATGTGAAAATATTTTGAAATATTTTCTTTAATCAAGCGTGTGAGAAAAATTCTTAAACCAATCTAAACTGTCTAGTTGTTTGTTTTCAAAGTCTTTAGAACTGACATTCTGGAGAAATTTATGACATTTTTATGGTCTAGTGTGTTAATTAAATTATGTTTATGGAAAATATTTAAAATGATATTAAAGCATTTTGGATTGTTGTAAAGTGTTAATTAATTAGGGGGCATTGAAGCTTAATTTATTCCCCTTATTGTTTTCACCAGTTTTCTTTTTCACTGTTATTTTGCCTATAGCCTATACAATCTGCATCTTTTCATAATTTTTATTGAGTCAATTTTTTCTTCGCATTTATCTCGATTTAATTTCAAATCAACTGCACACAATATTAAACAGCAACAGAAAATAATAATAATTGTAATTCATTCAAGACGCGATAACGTTAAATAAGACATGTTCACAGTTTTTTTTTTCTTTTTTCACATATTTGATTAAATATTTTATAACATTAACAGAGATAAGATTTGTGCAAAAACTTACAAACACAAATAAATTAATCGCTAAAACATGAGAGTTTTTTTAATATAAAAAAATATTATGCTGTGGGAACCAATGGGAATATAAATGGTTTTGTTTTGCATAAATATGGTGATTATAATTTAAAAGGCTGTAAAATAGTTTTATAGTCTATAGTCCAGTCTGTAGTCTAGTCTATAGTCCAGGTCTGTAGTCTAGGCTATAGTCTAGTCTATAGTCTAGTCTATAGTCTAGTCTATAGTCTAGTCTATAGTCTAGTCTATAGTCTAGTCTATAGTCTAGTCTATAGTCTAGTCCATAGTCTAGTCTATAGTCTAGTCTATAGTCTAGTCTATAGTCTAGTCTATAGTCTAGTCTATAGTCTAGTCTATAGTCTAGTCTATAGTCTAGTCTATAGTCTAGTCTATAGTCTAGTCTATAGTCTAGTCTATAGTCTAGTCTATAGTCTAGTCTATAGTCTAGTCTATAGTCTAGTCTATAGTCTAGTCTATAGTCTAGTCTATAGTCTAGTCTATAGTCTAGTCTATAGTCTAGTCTATAGTCTAGTCTATAGTCTAGTCTATAGTCTAGTCCTATAGTCTAGTCTATAGTCTAGTCTATAGTCTAGTCTATAGTCTAGTCTATAGTCTAGTCTATAGTCTAGTCTATAGTCTAGTCTATAGTCTAGTCTATAGTCTAGTCTATAGTCTAGTCTATAGTCTAGTCTATAGTCTAGTCTATAGTCTAGTCTATAGTCTAGTCTATAGTCTAGTCTATAGTCTAGTCTATAGTCTAGTCTATAGTCTAGTCTATAGTCTAGTCTATAGTCTAGTCTATAGTCTAGTCTATAGTCTAGTCTATAGTCTAGTCTATAGTCTAGTCTATAGTCTAGTCTATAGTCTAGTCTATAGTCTAGTCTATAGTCTAGTCTATAGTCTAGTCTATAGTCTAGTCTATAGTCTAGTCTATAGTCTAGTCTATAGTCTAGTCTATAGTCTAGTCTATAGTCTAGTCTATAGTCTAGTCTATTGTCTAGTCTATAGTCTAGTCTATAGTCTAGTCTATAGTCTAGTCTATAGTCTAGTCTATAGTCTAGTCTATAGTCTAGTCTATAGTCTAGTCTATAGTCTAGTCTATAGTCTAGTCTATAGTCTAGTCTATAGTCTAGTCTATAGTCTAGTCTATAGTCTAGTCTATAGTCTAGTCTATAGTCTAGTCTATAGTCTAGTCTATAGTCTAGTCTATAGTCTAGTCTATAGTCTAGTCTATAGTCTAGTCTATAGTCTAGTCTATAGTCTAGTCTATAGTCTAGTCTATAGTCTAGTCTATAGTCTAGTCTATAGTCTAGTCTATAGTCTAGTCTATAGTCTAGTCTATAGTCTAGTCTATAGTCTAGTCTATAGTCTAGTCTATAGTCTAGTCTAGTCTAGTCTATAGTCTAGTCTATAGTCTAGTCTATAGTCTAGTCTATAGTCTAGTCTATAGTCTAGTCTATAGTCTAGTCTATAGTCTAGTCTATAGTCTAGTCTATAGTCTAGTCTATAGTCTAGTCTATAGTCTAGTCTATAGTCTAGTCTATAGTCTAGTCTATAGTCTAGTCTATAGTCTAGTCTATAGTCTAGTCTATAGTCTAGTCTATAGTCTAGTCTATAGTCTAGTCTATAGTCTAGTCTATAGTCTAGTCTATAGTCTAGTCTATAGTCTAGTCTATAGTCTAGTCTATAGTCTAGTCTATAGTCTAGTCTATAGTCTAGTCTATAGTCTAGTCTATAGTCTAGTCTATAGTCTAGTCTATAGTCTAGTCTATAGTCTAGTCTATAGTCTAGTCTATAGTCTAGTCTATTGTCTAGTCTATAGTCTAGTCTATTGTCTAGTCTATAGTCTAGTCTATAGTCTATAGTCTAGTCTATAGTCTAGTCTATAGTCTAGTCTATAGTCTAGTCTATAGTCTAGTCTATAGTCTAGTCTATAGTCTAGTCTATAGTCTAGTCTATAGTCTAGTCTATAGTGTAGTCTAGTCTATAGTCTAGTCTGTGGTCTAGTCTATAGTCTAGTCTATAGTCTAGTCTATAGTCTAGTCTATAGTCTAGTCTATAGTCTAGTCTAGTCTATAGTCTAGTCTAGTCTAGTCTATAGTCTAGTCTATAGTCTAGTCTATAGTCTAGTCTATAGTCTAGTCTAT